TTCAAACGACAACATCCTTAGATCTAGTTGATTTTGACGCGAATGATAAAAGGAATTGTTTACCATCGAAAGCTTGAATATTGCACCTACGATAGTAAGATTGCTGCGACATTCTCACATTTGCCGACATATAGGTGAATAAGTATTCGTGAAAAGTTGTCGGTGAGAATATCATGAATAACGTCTGACGATGCTACGACCGATGTAGCAAGATACCACGTATAGCGTTTGCGGGTACTACGATCGCTGGCTTCTTGTGTCCGGTATTTCACTAAATGAGACAAAATGGATATTTACGTTGTACTATACAGGTAACATATGCTGTACAGATAGAGCGGCATGACAAGTTTCCTTGCGCTAGCCGCTCCTTCAGTGAGCGTGACTTTTAATTATCGAATGGTCATTCTCAGCAAGCCGGAAGCCCTTTGTCTGAGATTATCAAATTTTTGATACTCAGCTTGTAATATTACGCACAAAGCCACTGACTGTTCGGAAAGGAATTATAATATTAATATTCCGCTAGAATATTACAAGGAATTTGAAATACTGTGACAATATTCCGGACGCTCCAAACGCCTGCATAACAGATTCAGAAAATTGGTTAGCAGCTTTAGTAAACACCTCATATAGCTGTAATGGCACGACTTTTGAGGCTATGGATATAGACAACAGCGGTTAAAGAAAGCAACGTCATAATGTTGTCTTGTCAGAATTGATGCTTTTTATTTCTAAGCGTTTTATTCACCTGAAAAATGGCAGTATTTCTGAATTTGGAAAGTAGTGATGACATTTGCAGATACCACTTAAAGCAACTACTTGCTTCTTAAGGCCACACAAATCTTCAACAATTAAATTTCTCATCGAGTTCTTCTACTGACAGCACGGCGAAGGTAGACTATAATTGATCTCTAAAGATTACCTCCACTTTAAGATCTAACGCGATACTGAGCATATTAGAATGCTCTCGATGTACTCATTCGATCACTTTCAAAAATTACGAGTATTTTACTTTATTCTTCTCCTCGGT